AATGCAATGGTGGAACAAAATTGTCAAAAGGCTTAAAACATGACAAAAATCTTTGAGAAAATTTTAGGGTAGATGAACTCTTAAGTACTTGTCAACTTTCCAAGAAAAACACTTGCCTTATTTCAAAAACCCACTTCACAAACACTTTCAAAATCAACTTTTCAAACCCTTGAAACATCTTTTCAAAAAGACAAACACCTTTGTAAAACATTCGAATAAAGAATTGTTACAAGGGTAGCCTATGCAAGGCATCTTTTTCAAAACCTTTTCAAAGCCACACACAAAGCACCATTTCAAACAATTGAAAACTAAGGCAAGTTGATCTAAGCAAGTATCTAAGAGCCCATGGATAACCATGGATAGAAGGGGTGCTAATACCTTCCCCTTCTATAATCTACTCCCCGAACCCAAGAAAAAATCTCAAAGGTTTTTGCTGTGCTTTTTAAACCTTTCCTTAGGATAAAATAAAAAGTCGGTGGCGACTCTTGCTCAACCGAAACATTTGCGAAAACAAACGCAAAACCCTAGTCAGTTCTCCCACCGTATCACAGTTTGCATCTTCCTTTTACCGACCTATAGGTGGCAATTTTCAACTATCTTCGTCTTGCTCCTTCGCATCGTCACCCCAACTCGATAGCCTTTTTGTAGGCTTTTGAGATTGTGTGTGATTATCTAAAGATTGAGGCCATCGTCCCTTTGTTCTTCTACTGCATAGAAATCATAATGTACCAGCCCACCTTTATCATTTACCACATCATCTAATATAATCACACAATCTTGCAACCTTGCAACCTTGTAGGCACGTGTCTTGTTCTCTGAGGTGTGCTTGGTCCTGGTTGATCTATAACTTCCTCTTGTCGAACTTCTCTTTCGACTTCAACTGTTGGTTCTTCAAATAAGATTCTTACTGAATCTTTATTGACATTTTCTATCCAATCCCATTCCTTAAGTTCATTTATGATCATGTCCCTGCTGATCACAATCTCCTTGTTCACTAGGTCGAACAACTTGTAACCTCCTATTGAATGATATCCTACTAGGATCATCTGACTCGACTTATCATAAATTTTTCTTCTCAACTAATCTAGCACATGTCTATGTGCAATAGATCCAAATACCTTCAGATGACTCAAGCTAGGCTTCACACTAGACCAACATTCCTCTGGAGTAATTCCTTCTAGCTTCTTCGTTGGACATCTGTTCAAAATTTATGTTGTTGTCGACACAACTTCACCCCAAAAATCTTTAGGTAAATGCTTGCCTTTCAACATACTTCTCACCATATTCATGATGGTTCAATTCTTTCTTTCTGTAGTTCCATTCTATTGTGGAGTGTAGTGTGGCACCACCTCATGCACAATCCCTTCTTTTCCACATAATTTGTCAAAGTCTTTTGACACATACTCTCCACCACCATCAATTCTCAAAACTTTGAGCTTTCGACCACTTTGTCTTTTGACCATAGACTTAAACTTGACAAATACCTCAATCACTTCACTTTTCTTCTTGATCAGGTAAGTCCATAGTTTTCAACTAAAATCATCTATGAATGTTAGAAAGTATTTGTTACCTCCATTTGAATCCACCTGGATTGGTCCACAAACATCAGAGTATATGATTTCAAGGATTGCCTTCGACTTGCTTCATGCATCCTTGCTAAAGTTGTTCATGTGTTGCTTCTCCTGCACACATTTCTCACACACCTCATTTGGAATGTCGATTTCTAGTAATCCTGAAACCATATTTATTCTTTTCAAATCTTTGATGTCTCTGAAGTTGAGATGACCTAGTTGATAGTGCCATATCCATTCATCTCTGCTAGTTGCAGTCAAAAGTCACTTGTGCTCCATCACATTAAGTTCAATCTTGAAGGTTCAATTTTGAGACACGAGAGCCTTCAAGATTAACCACCTATTTGCATCGAAGACTCTCATCATCTTATCTTTGACCAACACTTTGTAATTCTTTTCGACCAACTGCCCTATACTGAGCAAATTGCTCTTCATGCTCGGTATGTACAACACATTGGAAATTACAGACCTCTTGCCATCTTTCCTCATAATAATAACACCACCAATACCTTCAGCTGCTAGGGTATTGTCATTTTTGAATTTCACTGTGTTCTTCATCGAGGGTTTTATGTTGACAAACCAATCTTTCCTTCCATACATGTGTGATGAGCATCCTGAATTTAAGTACCATTAGTACTTGAATTTCTCTTCATCTTTTGTTGTGAGCATCATCTCTTCTTCTTCATGTTTTGAAAACTTTGCATCACTTTCTTAATTCTTTCGCTTTTCTGAATAATCACTAGAATATTGACCATACTTTGGACAATTGAAACACTAAATGTGACTCTTGTCGGGCTTTTGGCCATCACCTCTTCCTCTATTTGCAACACCACCTCTTTGGTTTCCTTGGTATGATCTTCTCTGATTCGACACGTTTTCTTCGTGCTGGTTTCCTCTACCAGTCGAATTGATGTAGCCTTCTATACCTTTGTTGTCGAACCACTTTCCTTTGTCTTTCTTATCTTTTGCTGATTGAGCCTGCAAAGCCACATAACTCTTCGACTTTCCTGCAGCTCTTTCAGCCATTCTTTGTTCATGAGATTCAAGCGTCCCTTAAAGCTATTCCTTCGACAAAGTTGATGTGTCCTTTGATTCTTCTATGGAAACAACCATATGGTCGAACTTCGGAGCCAAAGATCTCAAGATCTTTGAAACAACTGATCTTGTTGTTAGTGTCTCTCCATAAACTATGATTTGATTCACTAGTTTAGTAACCCTAGTGAAGAAATCAGACATGCTCTCATTATCTTTCATCTGAAGCAATTCATACATTCTTTTGTGAGTTTGTAACCTCGCCTCTTTCACCTTTTCTGCACCTCCAAAAGATTTCATAAGAATCTCACAGGCTTCTTTTACAGATTCTACATCACTAACCTTTTAAAAAATATCTAGACTCAGACATTGATGAATTATAAAGAGAGCTTTATAATTTTTCTTCTTTGATTCTTTGTATTCCTTCCCTTATTATTTTGAAGCCTTCTTCAAGCGGTTTTAATCCATATTTCACAATATTCTAAATATCTTGACAACAAAACACAACATTCATCTGCTTGCACCAATTCTCATAGTTATCAACTTTAAGAATTGGAAGACTTACTGGAAAATTCCCATTTGGATGATTCATAGCCATCGTGATTCTCTTCTTCTTCTTTCCTTGATCGCTTAACTGAAGCTCTGATATCAGATGTTGGAAAGCCACAAAAACCTATGATAAATTTATATCAATCTTAATGAACAAGTTTTTTATCACAATACAATGACAATGAAAATAAAAGAAAATTAAAGAAGAAAAGAGATTTAGGGTTTCTGCAGAGTAACTCTCTATCCACAAACTGTGGAAAAAATTTATTCTCTTGCAACTTCAAATATTGTGAATGAATGAATTAATTACAAAAATAGGGATTACTCCCTCTATATATAATTGAGATTTCTTTCTCCCTAAGCCAAAACCCCAAAACTATAAAATCATAAAATACCTATTTTGGAACTAAATCAAACCTAAATCAAATATGTTTGTAGCAATCTGCTTTGACACACTATTTAGACTAATTCGACACACGCCATGTTGGGTGTTTTGACACACCTTGTGCCGAGAAACATACTGCTTTGACACAAGGAATTGCACTTTCAACATTCCTCACACTTGATTCTCAACACTTCTTCTCAAGTGTGAGTCTATACACAATGCTCCTCCCTCATGTGGAAGCTCTCTCTTCCACATACACTTGTACCGCTGTTGACGCTCTTCAATGGAACACCTTCTACCACCACCTGTGGGAAGTGTTACAATGCAAGTAAGTTGGTCCTTTTACTCAAAACCAAAGGCTCTAATACCACTGTTGGAGGTACTTTGGGGGGGGGGGGGGGGGGGTTGACGAGGGAGCATCTTTTACTTGAGACACACCTTTTATGAGAGACGCACCATATATCCACCTAAAACCTTAAGGTGATAGATGTGTGAATTCTCTCACTTATAAAGTGTTCAATATTCCATTTTCTAACCAATGTGGGACTTCTTCCTCACACTTGATTCTCAATAATATCAACCATATACTAATGTCTCTATCTCTCTATAACTTTTTCATTTCATACACTTGCACGAATTCCAATAATACACTATTATACCTAAAAATTACACTTGACACATTTTTGACACTCAAATTTGGGTGTCAAAATATCATTTCTCTGATGAAAAAAAGAAGGTACAAACTCGGTGCATATCACACCCTTACCATTACCTAGTATACATACACGTATTTTGGCGAAAATAGAATAAGAGTTATTCACAACATCTAATTAATTGATTTGTAGCATAAAATAATAAATTAAAGCATGATGGCATGAGTATAAATATTTGCACAATGTAATAAACTGAAAAACAAATAATATGTAATTCTTATAATATCATAAAGTTCCTTAAGTATAAATTATTTCAACATCAGAATCTTCTTGTATATTAGCTAATGTGTATACGCCGTGTGATGGTATAGGCCGATAAATGTTATGGGACAATTTAGGGGCTGTTTTAAATAATTCCAGAGGGGGTACTTGATGTGTGGTAGGGGACTTCAACGCTATTAGACATCAGGCAGAAAAGCGCAGTACTGCGTCTATTGAGAATTTTGTGGATAATTCGTCTTTTAATAGGTTTATTGAGGATAATGCTTTAGTGGATTCCCTGTTGTGTGGGAGACGTTTTACTTGGTATCATGGTGATGGTCGGGTTATGATTCATTTGGATAGGTTTATGGTTACTCATAAGTGGTGAGATATTTGGCCTAATTGTACACAATGGCCATTTCTGAGAGGTCTCTCTGATCATTGTCCATTGGTGTTGACTATTGATGAACATAATTGGGGATCGCGGCCTCAATGTATGTTGAAATGTTGGGTGGATTTACCAGGGTATCATGATTTTATGGTTGATCAATGGAGGTCTTTTCAGGTGGAGGGTGGGGTGGTTTTGTATTGAAGGAGAAGCTGAGGTTGATTAAAGGTAGGTTGAGATGGTGGCATCAACAACATTCTCAGAATTTGGAAAGAAAGATTTCGCAGGTAAATGAGCGTATTAAATCACTTGATGTGAAAGTGGAACAACTTACTTTAGAAGAAGGAGGGGAGGTGGAATTACATGACTTATCAGTTGAATTGCTTTCCTTATCAAAGTTGAACTCTAGTATTCAGTGGCAGAAATCCAGAGTGAATTGGTTGAGAGAGGGTGACGCAAAGTCTAAAAGTTTTCACGGCGTTATGGCTTCCAGACGAAGGTCTAATGCGATTATCGCCTTAGCCATGAACAATCATATTGTGGAAGGTGTGGCTCCAATTAAGGAAGCCATATTTCAGCATTTTCTGTCGCACTTTAGGGCGACAGTGGGAAATCACCCGAAAATTGATAATCTGGCGTTCAAATCTCTTAGTGTGGAGGCGGGGGCTGACCTTGTTAAGCAGTTTCAGTTGGAAGAATTGAAGCAGGCAGTGTGGGATTGTGACAGTTATAAAAGTCCTGGTCCTGATGGTCTGAATTTTGGGACATCCTGAAAGAAGATGTGTTGAGATTTATGGTGGAATTACATTGCAATAGAAAGCTATCAAAAGGAATTAATAATACTTTTATTACTATGATACCTAAAGTTGCTAGTACTCAGAGGGTAGTGGATTTTCGGCCTATTTCTTTGGTTGGGTGTTTATACAAAAAATTTGCAAAACTTTTGGCGAATAGATTGAGAAATGTGATTGGAGGGATGATTTCTGATACTCAATCTGTGTTTATATCAGGCAGAAAAATTATAGATGGCATCCTTATATCCAATGAGGTTGTGGATGAAGCTTGGAAGAATAAGAAAACTCTTATGCTATTTAAGGTTGATTTTGAGAAAGCTTATGATTCTGTTGACTAGACTTATTTGAAGAGGGTGATGGTTAGAATGCAATTTTCTACGAAGTGGGTGAATTGGATTATTAAATGTGTCTAGACTGCTATAACATTGGTTTTAGTGAATGGCAGCTCAACTGATGAGTTTAGGTTGGAAAGAGTTTTACGACAAGGCGACCCGTTATCACCTTTTCTATTTTTAATTGTGGTAGAGGGGTTTAATGTGTTGATGAATGCTATGATTGAACGAGGTTTATTCACGGGGTATAGAGTGTAAAATGGTGATAGGGTGTCAATAACTCACTTGCAGTTTGCAGATGACACCCTGTTAATGAGGTCTAAGAGTTGGGCTAATGTTAGGGAGTTAAAAGCAGTGTTGTTATTGTTTGAATCTATTTCGGGCTTAAAAGTGAGATTTCATAAAAGCATATTGCTGGGTGTAAGCATTTCGTCTTCTTGGTTGAAAGAGGCAGCAATGATGTTAAAATGTAAACTGGGAGTTATTCCTTTTGTGTACCTGGGGTTGCCTATTGGGAGTAACCCGAGAAGGCTTAATTTTTGGAATCCGGTGTTGGAGACTTTCAGAACCAGGTTATCTGGGTGGAAATGTCGTAACTTATCCCTGGGGGGTCGGTTGGTCTTGCTGAAATCTGTTTTGTCCTCTATCCCGGTCTATTTTCTTTCTTTCTTCAAGGCTTTTGCATGTATAATCTCTTCTCTTGAATCTTTATTTAATGCATTTTTTTGGGGAGGTACGAAAGATAAGAGGTGAATTTCGTGGATTGATTAGGATACTATTTGTTTGAGTAAGGAGAATAGAGGTTTAATGAGGCTTTGTTGGGGGAAATGGTGTTGGCGAATGTTGGAGGAGAGGGGAAGTCTTTGGTATAGAGTCCTAGCTCAGTGGTATAGGGAGGATGGGGGCGGTTAAGATAGTGTAGGAGGTTCAGTGTGGTGGCAGTGTACGAATAGGATCAGACAAGGGTATGGGACGATTGAAAGATGGTGGCTGGTCAATAATATCGAGAGGTCAGTAGATAATGGGGTAAGCTCATTTTTTTGGAGGGATCCTTGGTTGGAAGATAGGGTGTTAATGTCTATATTCGGGAGGCTTTATGAGTTATCTGAGAATAAGGATGCTACTGTAGCAGAGATGTTCTCATTAGGGTATGGGGGTAGATGGCGAGGTCTGGAGGTGGCGTATGAGGTTGTTTGTGTGGGAGGAGGAGTTGGTGGGGAGTGTATTAGGCTGTGAGATTCTTTTGTTTTGTAGGAAGCGGTCGAAGATACCTGGGCGTGGAAACTTCATTCCTCTTTACACTATAATGTTAGTAGCGCTTATCATGTGTTGGCAAAGATGTCAGATACTCAACCTGTTGGTGACTCGCATGTATGGTGGTCAAAAGCAGTGTCGTTAAAGGTAAACCTTTTTGTTTGGAGGTTATATCTGAATAGGCTACCGACGAAGGATAATTTTGTTAGGATGCATGCTATTATAACCGCTGAACATAATTGCCCATCTAACTGTGTTCATGTTGACGACAAGGATCATATTTTTTTTCATTGCGATTATTATGACAAACTTTAGCCAATGTTGTCTGGTTGGTTAGGATTCTCGTCGACTTTTCTAGACAACATTAGGGATCATCATGATTATTCCGTTGCTCTGGCTGGTATGTCTCTATCACATAGAAAAGATTTCCGCATCATTTGGGTAACTATTGTATGGATCATTGGGAAAACTCAGAATATTAAGGTTTTTAGGAATAATAATCTTTCTTTGATATTTATTTGTGAAAAGGTAAAATTGCAATTGTTCTAGTGATTGAAATCTTATTTTGTATTGTTCAACTTTGCTTACCAGTATTTGAGGATGCATTGCATTGTAATGCAGCTAGTTGCTTAGCTTTGTGTTTTTGGATTATGATTGTGCTTTAATTCGGGACATTACTGTAATTGTACTTATTTAATTCTTCTTGTACGTCTTATGTTTAAAGGACTTTTTATTGCTTAATATATTTTTTAACTTCTTCAAAAAAATATAGTAAAATGTTAATAACAAATATTGTCATAAATCTCTTGCATAAAAATAAAACTAATGGTTTATTCTTTCAATTGAAAGAAACTTTCCTTATACATTAATATCACACTATCTACTGCATAGAGAAATACTTAGTTGGTCACAACCCCAACAAATATTTATTTAGCCACACACAAATTATTATATATCATTAAATAATATATAAAAATATATATTATTTAATTATTTTTATTCTCTAACTTTTTTTAATGTGTGTGCTTATATATTTTTTCTAAAAATTTGTGCCCATACAAGAGTTTCTCCAACTCCATATTTTGCTTTAACACCAAACTCCTTAATTATTTGACTAGTCAAATTTAACCAAATAATTTCATCATTACCTTTAATAAAAAATATATCACCATTTTTATCTACTCTAATAGGTCGTTTGATACAAGATAATGGTCCAACAATAAAAGTTTAATCTATGATTCATTTACACCGATTTGACTTAAAATTGATATGTCAAAAATAGATGTACTATTATAAATCTAAGAGATCAAAGCAATAGAATCATTTAACACTATCAAATGTGCTGCCCCTAAAAGTATATCTAACGGTACGAGTGTAGTACATAAGACTTCATTGACTAAGTCAAATAATTCCAAAGCTATTTTAGTATAAGATAGATAAACAAGATGCCACCAATGATACTTTCCATCCAAATACATGAATTGGCCGCAAATACTACTACTGTGCACCAAAAAGTGATATGGTTGACCTTCCAAGTATACATCAATATCAAGTTTTTTTCAAAAGTTATTTTTAAGACTGTATATCTTCCATAAAGATTCATGATTTAATACATCTTTCCATGGCACATCATGTAGGCCAAGAACATCATAATCTTGACTGCTTGGGTAACTGTAATATATATGCCAGATTAACTTATAATCATCTCAAACATAATCATATTTAAGTCTGTTAACATCAGTCGAAAACATTTGGTAACGTGCTATGTAGTATTATTTTTTATTTTTTTAAAATGTTAATTATTATTATTATTATTATTATTATTATTATTATTATTATTATTATTATTATTATTATTATTATTATTATTTATCGTTATTATTTACTCTTTTTAAACATATGTTATTTGTTATAGGTTATGCATGTGTAGTATACATCTGATAAACTATTTAACTTTTTAAAACTCTTTTCTCATTTATTTATTGAACTCTCTATTATGGATTAGTATTATTTATTCTTTTTAAATCTATATAAATAGGTTATGTATGTGTGTGGTATACAGTGTGTATTGAGTTTTGTAAAAAAATTTACTTTTCAATCCTCTTTTATCATTTATTTATATTGAATATTTCTCTGTCAATTGTACATATCATCTTCTTCTCTTTCTTTTATTTGATAAATATCATCTTCTTTTTATATTGTTTTCTCTTTTTCATCTTCTTCTCTTTCTATCCTTACCTGTTTTTCTTGCAGAAGAACGAGAGAACGATGAAGAGGAACGGTTCAATTTAGGTTTCAAAGCGTTTAAAACTTTAGTGTTTGGCCCGACCCGTTCCGGTTTCAAAATCTAAAAAAGCGTCGCTTTGGACCGCAACTGCTCTGCGCCAAAACCCGCGATCTCGGCCGCACCAACCCTAACGCGTCCGCTTTGTCCTACCGCACCAAACCAGTACCACTGAAAGCTGCCTGACTGAATATAACGCATCGTTCCGCTATGGCGGCCGCTCCAGTCGCTTTTAACAACATAGTAGTATACTAGTCTCTCATCATTGCATAACGCAAATCCTAATTATGATGAGAGAGATTATTTGTTATTCTGTAGCACTTGTAATCTTGTTTTAAAGAGAAAGTAAAGAGTTTATAATCAATTTCATTGTGTTCCTCTTGCTTCCCTCTTTTCTATCCTCGTGGGTTTCTTGCTGATCAAGAAACCAGTTATACTTTATTATTCTGACGTCGTTTTCACAACATCGCCAATAGTATTATTTTCATGATCAACAATTCATCAAAAACCTATTACCGAATTTGAACTACAAGATTTTTCAAAATCTTATGAATTTTTACCGGATTTTTCAAACACATTACTGCATTTAAAAAAATAAGAACTTTTATCAGACTTTCAAAAAGTTTATGAATTTTTATCAGATTTTTTAAAATAATTCGAGTTTTATCATATTTTTCAAAAACTATGAGTTTCTATCGAATTTTTCAAAATATACTATCGTATTTAAAAAAAAACTATGCAATTTTACCAGATTTTTAACAAAAGAAACTATGAATTTTACCGGATTTTTTTTGAAAACTCCGGTAAAATTAATTTCAATTTTTTGCTTATCGGAAATAAACTATCTTTATTTTAAAAAACTCCAAAAAATTCCAAAACATACCATATATTTAGAATATACTACCAAAATTTTCTATTCATTCCGAATTTTTCAACTGCGCTACTGAATTTTTTGTTCGCTCCTTTTTAATAAAACTATTTTGAATAATATGAAATTTGTGGGGGTGCCCGGTCAGATTTTAGGGATGGCAGGATAAAATCTCGACTATTTCCCCCCACCAAACAACTAATTGGATTCTTTGAAATACCCAAAATACATTCAAATTTTA